CCTCTTCAAGAAATAGCCTAATCTAATTATAAGAAGTAGCTTTGGACTATGTCCAAAGTATGAGAAATGAAGATTCACCATCAACAAGCACTCTGGCTGCACATTTTCCAAGGCGTATCTGTTTGTTCTTTTGATAGTTCATGGGATATCCAGTTCTGAGAAACACACCAACTTACTGAAAAGAACACGGCCTGAATTAGGTACACCTTAGTCTTCAAACTATTATCACTGCTCTTCAGTATTTTGTAGAGCTCTCTGACAGCAGATTTGCCAATTGATCTCCTGAATGTTGATTCCAAGCAAGATGGAATCACTGACAATTTCAATCTTTTGTCCATCTATCATGATGTTGTCTAATGGCCCACAGGTGACACCTGTGTTTTCTTGACACTGAAACATAATCCATACCAAAAGCTGTAGTCCTTGATCTTCTGCAGCAAATGTTTCAAATCCTCCTCACTTGCAGCAAGCAATGTTGTGTCACCTACCTAATTCTGGCTGTTGACTAGTCTTCCTCCAATCCTGATGCCACATTCCACTTCACAGAGTCCAGCTTCATAAATTATTTGCTCAGCATACTGAACAGGTAGGGAGAAAGGATTCATCCCTGATGCATAACCTTCCTGATTTTAAACCAAACCTAATTCCCTTGTCCCTTGTTTTGTTCAGATAGGAGCTTCGTGACCTAGGTATAGGTTTCATATGGGCACAATTAAGAGTCTGGGATTCTTCCTATTCTTCTCAATTTTATCCATACTGTGTTAAAATCCACAGTCAAATGCCTGTGCATAGTCAATAAAACAAAAATAGCTATTTATAAGCAAAGCACTCCTTAAAAAGAGAAATAAGGTAGGAGGCATCTCACTACCTGATTTCAAATCCTACTACTCTGCCGTGCTGGTCAAGACAGTGTGGTACTATTAGGACAGACACATAGATCATTGGAATAGAATAGAAAATCCAGAAATCAACCAATTTACCTACGGTCAACTGATTTTTGACAAAGAGATGAAATCAGCTAAGTGGGGAAACGACAACCTTTTTTAACAAAGGATGCTGGCAAAATTGGAAAACTACCTGTAGAAAACTCAAGTAAGATCCACACCTTACTCCATACACAAAAACCAACTCAAAATGGATCATGGACCTAGGAATAAAACCAAAGATTATAAGCTTCATTAAAGAAAAGCTTGGAAGAACTATAGAAGTTCTAATCCACAACATAAATAGTCTTCCAAGCATCCTGAAAAATCTACAACCAGGAGAGGATAAAATAGATGAATGGGACCTTCTAAGAATCAAATTTCTATGCACATCTAAAAACTTCGCCAACAGAGTAAAAAGGAAAGCCATAGACTGAGAAAAAATATTTGATAATGACATGTCAGAGAAAGGACTCATTATCTAGAATTTATAAAATACTCAAGCACCACAAGATAAAGGTAGATAACCCAACTGAAAAATGGGCACAGGATATGAACAGACACTTCACCAAAGAAGACATTCAGATGGCCAACAAATACATGAAGAAATGCTCAAAATCCCTAGCTCTTAGAGAGATGCAAATCAAAACAACTATGCGATATCATCTAACCCCAGTAAGAATAGAAAAATTTAACAGAACAGCAAACAACAAATGCTGGCAAGCTTTTGGAGAAACTGGAACCATTGGTAGGAGTGTAAAATGGTGCAACCACTATGGAAGGCTGTGTGGCGCTTTCTCAAAAAGTTACAAGTAGAAATACCATTTAATCCAGCAATTCCTCTACTGGAAATATACCCTAAAGAAACCATAACTGCCATCGAGGCAGATATAGGCACACCCGTTTATTGCGGCTTTGTTCACAGTAGCAAAGGGCTGGAAACAACCTAAGTGCCCATCAACAAACAAATGGATAAAAAAGCTGTGGTATATTCATTCACACAATGGACTATTATGCTGCATTGAAAACAAGGAACTCAAGCAATATTACTCAAAATGGATGACCCTGGAAGACATTATGCTGAGTGAAATATCTCAGTCACAAAAGGACAAATACTGCATAGTGCCACTGTGTAGAACGGGACTGACATAAAGGCTGGAATGAGACTGAGAAAAATTGGATAAATTATGTATACTGCACTGAAACAGATGAGGGAGAGAATAGTTTAAAAGCAATCTATTATTGGGTATTATGGTTATGACAAGAGTCCAGAATGAAGGTTGTATAGTGGAGTGGGTGGGGGGAGGGAATTGTATACCAATGAAGGAATTTTTCTTTTACTTTTCAAGGAGAGGAGTAAATGGAGGGGAGGCCACAGGGAGAAGAGTGCAACATTATGAATGAATTGAAATTTTTAAAAATATAAGAAAAATAATTAGTGTAATCCATCATATTAACAAAATAAAGGATAAGAACCACTAAAAAAAAGTGTTATTTACTAGATGACAATAACTAAATTTATTTTTGTTCCCATTCCCAAGAAAGGTGATCTAAGAAAGTGGAAACTGTCAAACGGTATCATTAATATCACAAGCAAGCAAAATACTGCTGAAGATCATTCAAAAACAGCTAAAACTAGAAAGGGAACTTCTAGAAGTTCAAGCAGGATTTAAAGAGGCAATGGAACCAGGGATATGAATCTGCCTGAAAGTAAAAAATAGCAGAAGAATGTCTATTTATGCTTTATTGATGCAAAGGCATTTTAATGGGTAGATCAAAACAAGTTACGACTAGTATTGAGAGGCACGGGATCTAGAGCATTTAATTATTTGCAAAAACAACAAAAAACCTGGACTAGCAGACTGTTGTGCAAACAGAGCAAGAAAATACAACATGGTTTAAAATTAAGAAGAGAGTGTGTCAGGGTTGTATTCTCTCTCCATACCTATTCAATCTGTATGAAGAGGAATGTGGCATCAAGATTGGAGGGAGAATCATCAATAACCTGTATTATGCAGATGACATAACAGCTTGTTCAAAGTGAGGAAGGAAGACTTGAAGCACTTCTTGTAGAGAATCAAAGAATACAACCTTCAATATGGATTACAATTCAACATCAAGAAAATAAAAATTCTTTCCACTGGACTGATAGGCAACATCATGATTAATGGAAAAAAGATTGAAACCGTCAACAACTTCATCTTATTTGGATTCACAATTAACACCCTTCATACCAACAGTCAGGAAATCAAGAGATACACCGTGCTGGGAAAGTCTGAAGTCAGATACCTCTCCACGTTACTGAGGAGTAATGATGTCAATTTGAGGACTAAGGTTTATCTGATTCAGGCTATGGTCTTTCTGATCACCAGCTATGCATGTGAGAGCTGGACAATGAATAAGGATAACAGAAGAACAGATGTCGTTGAGCTACAGTGTTGGAGAAAAGCAATGAATATCCCACAGACTGCCAAAAGAACAAAAAAGTATGTCTTGGAGAGGATGCAGCTGGAGTGCTCTTGTGAAGCAAGGATGATGAGGCTTCATCTCATATACTTCAGGTATGTTGCTAGGTGGGGCTATTCCTTGGAAAGGAACATGATGCATGGAAAGATGGGAGGACCAGTGAAGGACAGGAAGACCCTCGACCAGGTAGACTGACAAGATGACTGCTACAACGGGGTCTTCTAGTGTGTCAGGAAGGATGAGGATGGCACAGGAGAGAAGAGGATTCAGATCTGTTGTTCTTAGGGACAGTATGGGTTGTACTCTACTCCACATAACCTAACAACAAGGTTTATTACTATAAATGTCCCTTTGGGTACTATATTCACCTCTCTCCTTAAGTTTTGGCATACTAGTGTCATTGATGGAATACCAATTGAGGTGTTTAAGCAAACAAATTCAATCCTGGACATACTCACTAGTCTATTCCAAGAAATATGGAAGACAACTACCTGGCCAACTGACTGTTAAAGATCTGTATCTGTTCTTATTTTTTAAAAAAAAAAGTGATAAAAAAAAAGGTGATCCAACAGAATATGGACATTATGAAACAATATCAATAGTATCACATTCAAGTAAAATCTTGCAGAAGATTATTCAAAAACAGCTGGAGTACATTAAAAGGGAAGTGCCAAAAATTTAAGGAGGATTCAGAGGCGGCCTTAGAATAAGGGATATTTCTGCCGGCAGGGAGAGATTCAAGGGCCTGGTCTAAGGATTAAGATGAAGTCAAAGGGGTCTGTCCTGAGCGGGCCTGGAATGGGTAAAAGAGCAGAAAGGAGGGAAAGAAATGTACTTCAATGGAGCTTCAAACGGAGCCTTCCAAATCTCACCTATGTGCTTATTGATCCTGATTCTGAGTTGCTTCTTTTACTGCTTAGTTGAATATTATCTCAAATTATAGTCTTATAATTCCCTAATAAGCAATGTAAAAGTGAGTAAAGTCTATTGAGTCCTGCGTGGTCATTATAACTATCTATCACACGTAGCACAGGTGAATGTGGCATGGAGAGCAGGGCAAATGTCAAAAATGGGGAAAAGGTTATGAAGCAGTATAAGAGGTCTAACCTTACTTGTACTGCCTCCAAGACAGACCTGTTTTGGCCTCTCCTCGATATTTCCATTGAAGAAGAGAGATCTGTTCCTTTGGAATGTAAATTTCCAATAAATCTATCTTTACATTTTACAGACAGATTTGTTTTCACATATTCAGTACAAGGAATATTCAGTACTCTTCTTGCACCACAATTCGAAGGCATCAATTCTTCAGCCATCCTTATTCATTATACAACTTTCAGATGCATAGAATATAACTGAAAAAGACTATAGTCTGGATCAACCACACCTTAGTTTTGAAACTGACATCACTGTTCTTTAGCATTTTGGAGAGGTCCTTGGCAACAGATTTTTCTAATGGAACAATTTTTAGACAGCAATTACCAAAGTGAAAAATAATACTTCTAAACTGTTCTGCTCAAATAATTCTGTTTCTAGAGTACATTTCTAATTTTTTTATAAATGTAACTTATAAAGTACTTTGCAAGATCTAAAATAATAGCTAAAGAGCCTTACCTTTTCTAGGAGGGAGCTCTCCACTGAATGTCAATTCTGTCCCAGTATATACAATTTCTCCATCTTTAACCATCTCATTCCACAGACCACAGAGTCCATCTCTTGTGAACGCAAGCTACCAAAAATAAAGTTACAAAGTAAAGCAGTTGTATCACAATTTTTAAAGAATAACTTTAAAAATGTCATTTCTCTTATTTATTCTTCAATGGTTAATGAAAATTATCTAAGAAATAAAGGCAGAAAAGGCAGTTCAAATCCACCAGATAGATGCTCCACTGGGTGGGAGACAATCTCCTCCTGGCCAGTCGGATCTGACTTGATAGCACACAACAAAGCAAAAAACATCTACCCATACACACACACACAGAGTAGACTAAAGAGAAAAGGCATAGCGCATATACTATGCAAAGTTCTCTATTAGGTTAACAAAAGACACATAAAAACATAACAAAAAGGGTAAGCCAAAATTGAATAGTAATGTTATCAATAAAGATACAAAGAGGGAAATAGGTGAAAAGCAGTAAGAACTAACGAAAGCAAACCTTTGAGTACACATGTTTTTATTTCTAAAACATAAATAATTTTCTGTTTAGAAAGCTAAACATAGAGTGCTCAGCTACGGGTGTCCCAGAAGGCTGCAGAGGGCAGCAATGTGGGGGGGTGGCGGGGACTTGGAAGCCCTAAGGGGCCAGCTGGGGTATCACTGGAAGCCTCGGCCCAAAATGGGACTTCCTGTAGACCAGAAAATGGTGACAGGGCCCTTCCTGAAGGTGGTGTCCCACCTGCTACCATTCTCCAGCTGCCTTGGGTCCCCAGTTGACTCCCATCAAAGTAGACAAAGTGACAACATCATGAAAATCAAGGCAATGAATGACACCAAGCCCCCAAGTTCCAGGCCGTGCAGAACATCCTGGAGGTGGAGAAAGAGCAGTAAAGAGCAGCAGAGTGGTCCAAAGCTGGGGCCACACTGGCACTGATGTGGCTGAAGGGAGGTCTCTGTTTCATCCAGGTCTGACAGGGGAGATGGCCCTCCTCAAGCACCACGGACAGATAGTGTAGCTCTTCCAGCACTGTCTGTGGCCCCTACAAGTTCGACTTCCCTAAGGCACTGTCCAGGGCTAAACCTGGCAGAGGAGTAACTGGAGAAGACTGGCTTTTCCTGGTAATCTACAAAATGTACATGAACATGGGAGCTGAGCCCAACTAAAGGGTGCAGTGCTGCCTGATGCTGGCCCCCACCACAGACACAAAGACACTGCCAGATCTGGAGCACTGTGACTACGACCAGCAAGCCTACCCCCTCAGAGGCCAGCAGCGCAGTCTGGAATCACAGGAGGTGGCCTTGACCTCAGAAAATTATTTTCCGTCCATTCTCTTGGAGCAGTTAACGACTCCAATTCCACATCGTCTTTGAACCTCACAGCAGTACAGACTGACTTTTTCTCCATTTCAGCGCAGTAAACACCAATTAAGGTTTCCAATACATCCAGTTCTAGTGTTTTTTTGGTTATCATTGACTCCACACCTGCAGCACAACTCAGATGGGTAAGGTGGACAATGTGACACACCTCCTGTTCAATGCCAGCACAGGGCCTTAACCAACATAGAGTGGAATGCTGATGGGGATGTTTTAAGGATCATGATGAATGTGATTGAAAAGTATGCTCCTACCGTAGGACTTAAAAAGAAAAAGGCAAACCAGTGTCTGTTCCTGTGTGGTCTGTACTACCCCAGCTTCTTGACACATATCTTATACCTCCAGAATTTCTTTAGGCAGACAGTTTATTTATAGCAGAAACCAGGCGGCAAGCCTTTGTGGACCCAAGGCTTTTTTTAATTTTTAGAGCAGTTGGGGACAAATAATCCCACAGATGCCTGTGTTTGCATCTTTCTACATCATTTTCTTCAGGGACCTTTTCCAACCTAAAAAACCTATCTACCATATGTGTTCTCTTGAGGCGGGTAAGGTGAACCTTTCAGCTGCAGAGACCCAAGACATCATCTCAATGCTTTGTCATCCTCAGCACTAAAGATAACTATATTTTGCCAGTTGTTGGGGCAGACCCCCAAAGATTTGATGTTTAATAACATCCAATGAGGAACAACTGATTTTTATGCAGAAACCAAATGATCCTTAATAAAGAAATCTCTAGTTTTGAAAAAAAAAGCAACCTAACACCACAACTAAAACTAAATACACACACACACACACACACACACACACACACACACATTTTCATCTAAACTGGAAACAAACAAATTAACCCATGTATATTGAAGAAAAGTATTTCAAGGGACTTTTGAAATGTCCAACTTGTTGCATCTCTATCAGAGCCGACTTCTAAATGACCCTCTAGCAAGTTTCAGATCTACAATGTAAAAAGAAAAAAATAAATTCAATACTTTCAAATCAGAACCAACTCACAGCTGACCTCTCAACAGAATTTCAGAGGCTATAAATCACACAGGCGATTACCCACCTTCCTTCCAAGGAGCTGCTGGAAGCCTTCTCTGACCATTAGCATCTGACTGTTAGCAACGCAAATTCCCTTTGGACTAAACCACAAGAGCTCCCACATAGTTAAAAAAAAAAAATCTCGAGATCCAAGACGGCAGCAGAGGCAGAGACAGTGTGGTGAGCTGCGGTAGTAGCGAACCACTTAAAGCAGGGCCATTATGGCCTTCCACAGACTTCGGCTTATTGATAATTGAACACTTAAACAGTTGATGACTGGCCCTCAGTGAAGACTGAAGCTCAACAACAGGAATTCAAGGATTCCCAAGGAGAAATGGGTGAGTCTCATGGCTCCCTCCCCCCTCCCTCCCAGCCCGTGCTGCACCGAACAGCTGCTACAGCTCCATGAGGCTTCCACAGCCTGAACGAATGGATTCCCTCACCCAGGATGGAGGCTGGCCACTGGCCCTCCTCAAGACTGGTACAGTGAAGCCACCACGTCTGGAGAGAATTCTTGGAGCCAGGATGGCGGCTGTGGGGGCGCGGGTGCCTCCGGCAGACCGCACAAGAGGAGCCGCACACCTGCTGAACGCCCATGCGGAGGGGTGGGGGGGCGCGCCCCCAACGGCTGCCCGTGCTGGGGGGGGCGCCCACCCCACTGGCCGCCTGCTGTAGGAGGTGGGGGATGGGATGCATGACCGCCATCTGCAGGTTTGGGTTTCCTTGGAAAGGCCAAAGAAGATGATTACCTAAGCATTGGAAAGGCCAAAGAGGACGATTACCTATGCATTGGAAAGTCCAAAGAGGACGATTACCTATGCATTGGACAGACCAAAGAGGACGATTACCTATGCAATGGA